GCACAGAGAAGACAAGTAGTGACTCTGTAGCATCTTACTATGCTGATGGACAGTGACTATAATGGGGTGTGTGTGGGGGGACTTCATAATGGGGGGATTGTAGTAACCACCGTGCTGCTCATGTGAAACCTTCACAAGATTGTATATCAATGATACCTTAATAAATAAATAAATACACACATACACACACATAATGGAACATAAAAAAATAAATACAAAATAAAGGAATGAAGTTTTTTTTCTTCTGATTTCAAAATGGTAAAGTGTGTATTTTCTCATTCCTTTCCTCCTATTATTTGCTTCAAAACAAGGAGGTGCAACTTAATGGCACTAAAAGACACTGAAAGCCTACAATGTCTTAGTATGGAGAGAGGAAGGCCAGCTGTTAGGGTCAAAACACTGGAAAGGCTTGTGAACTGGTAGCCACCAGTTCCACAGATGGTGAGGATGAGACGGAGCCTGACAAAAGGGAATTGACTGAAAGCTGGTAGTAGGAACAGTTAGATGGCTTCTGGTTCCCACTACCACCTGCATCAGCCAAGCAGTGAACCCGCCCCCTGCCACTGAGACCACAGAAACTGGAATAGACAGACTGGATTTGGGCACACCACAATTGGAGGAGGACGGTGTGAAGCGCTGTGCTCCATACGGGTGGATCACATGACAGTCTACTCACTGCACAAGACCCTAATGCCCTTGCCCAGCCCAGCTCCAGAGGCGAGACACCAGCAGGCCTCCTTGCTACTCAAGGCAAGAGCCTGAAGGACCCTTTTCAGAAAAAAAAGAAGACCATCCTAGCAAGGAGACTTGTGCGTGCTGACATTTGGGTTCCCCTCATGGAAAGGACACAGCCTTCTGACTACCCACTGAGTAGTTCACCATCGACTACGTTTTTTAGTGCCCCCCTCTTACATTTGAAATGCCAGCCAAGGATCACCAGATATTTGCAGACAGCTTCTAACATTTAAAAAAAAAGGGAGCAAGACCAAAACAAACAAACAGAAAGTGGAATTCAGAGGAAACAGACACAAGGCAGGGAAAGGAAGAAAATTTTACATAAACCACAGTATCTTCATAGAGATTAGATACTGCATCAATGAATCAAGAATGGAATGCTATTAAAAGTGAATAATCAGAAAATAAGAAAGGACTCTTGAAGTTTAAACAGTCAAATCAATTTGAAGAAAACTCCCAAAACTTGAAGAAAAGGAAGAGGAAAATGGGAGAGAACAGATCAGAAAATTAGAGCATCCCTTGAGAAGACCTGACATCTGATTCTCTTTAATTCCAGAAAGAGACAGCAAAGAAATAGAGGAAAGAAATCTTTTTAAAAACTCTATTAAAAAAGATTTCCAAACCAAAGGATGTAAGTCTCCAGATTGAGAATGTCCTTCAAGACCCAAAATAATGAATGAAAAAGATTCCATCAATGTATACGCTTGTGATATTTCAGGACCCTCTGTGAAATGAAGGATCTGAAGCTTCAAGAGAAAGAAAAAAAATTGTCTTATGCAAAGAGTGGGCATAAGAAGGTGTCATATGTCACAGCAACAGCATTAGAAACTAGAACATTCAAGTTCAAACAAACTGAGATAGAACTGACGAAATCAAAACCATAGTCGGAATATAGACAACCTCTCTTCTAGATGAAGTGGACAAAAACTTTAAATTGTAGGTTAGAGTAATACGATGTTTGATTTAATAATTAAACATCATATTTTGTATTCTGTGGAAAGAAAACACCCGTGCACTTTTTAGTTGTCCTAGGATATTTAAAAATTGATCATGTTCCAGGCAATGAAGCAAATGTCAATAAATTCCAAAGTCAAAGTTGTATGGATCAGATGTTTTGGCTATCCCAGGGACATCTGCTGATCTGAAGAATTAAGGGGCATGGGCTTCCACAGCCATGGGGAACAGAAGATAAAGCCTTGGGCCCATCTGAGATCCCCTTCAAGGGGACTGAAACTGAGGTCCCCTTCAAGGACTCCTGAAGGTGTACTCTCAGTGCAAGTCTAGATTAGAGAAGCTGCGGCTGTGTTATGGGTGAGGAGGAAAAGCCCCCCCTGGAAATTCTGAGCTGCAGACCTGTCCTGACATGGATCTGAGGCATACATTTTTGCTATCTTCATGGTCTGGGAATTTCTGAGCCAAGAAATTAACCTGAATATGGTCCTGGGCTGATAACCTCACCCAGGCACGTGGTAAGAGCAAATACACAGTTTCTTTAGAAGGGCAAATTTCCCACTCAGGTTTCTGAGAGCAAACCCCCCACAAATACGAGGTTATTGAGGAAACACAAGGAATTAAGCTACCAAGTGGTTGGTGGATCCAATAAACATAAGGATTAGACTCCCCATAAGTTACAGATAATGTAATTACATAAATCATACTGTAAGATAAAAATCCTTAAAATGAGTAAAGACAAACTTTGAATTACAAATAAATTAGTCACAGGGATAGAAGTATAGCACAGGGAATACAGCCAATAATATAGTAATATCTTTGAATGGTGACAGATGGTAACTACACTTATCGTGGTGAACATTTAGTAACATACATAATTATTGAACCACTATGTCGTACATCTGAAACCAACATAATATTGTATGTCAGCTATATTTCGATTAAAAATTTTTAAAATATGGAACAGAGAAATGAACAACATACTAAAAGAAAAAGGCATGGTTATTTTCATTGATTCTAAAACGCTTTTCCCCCATATTTTAACATGTCTGAAATTAAGAAGCATTTTGCCACCAAGGTGATAAAAAGCACTGCTCATAGTTTAAAAAGCACTGTTTCTTTCTTTGTGGTACCTAAAATTATGGTATGTCTTTCATTTGGTGAAATATGGTATTTGAAAAAGAATCAGACACATGTGATGTATAATTGTAGAAGAGGCAAAAATCACCAAAGGAAAACAATTGGTAGATTTTGCTACATCAAAATCTAAATCTATTTTAGGTTAAAAAAATCATAAACGTTAAAAGACAAACTGAGAAAAGTATTTCCAAAGCAGATGACAAATAAAGGGTTAATGATGTTTTCATATCATAAAATAGAAACACCACAATATTAAGATAGGACGAGAATATAAACCGGGAACATATAAATGAAGAAATAGAAATTAGCAATATATGTAAGAAATTCTTCAACTTCATTATTGGTAATGCAAGAAATATAAATTTAAATAATGAAAATTTTGACACCCAAACCTGCAAAGTTGAGAAAAATTAGCGAATGTGTTAATTGTGCAGCAAAATTGACACTCTTATGGTGAGAGAAGAAGTTGGTATAGAATTCCTGGAGGGCAATTTAGTAAAATATATTTAAAAATCTAAATTATGGATGCCATTTGACTGAGTGATATCACTTCTAGGCATTTTTAAAAGAGTTTTACCATGGTTTTAGCACAGGTTTATCCCAAGGTATGTTTCTCACAGTATTGCTTATAATCATGAAAAATGAGAACTCACTTAAAAATATTAGAAGAAATCAATTAAATGATTATATAGGCATATGTAGCCATCATAGAATAAATATTGAATGAAACATATTTAATGACATAAACAAGATCCTGCCAAGGCATATCCACAATGTCGTAGTATACTTTTGAGTAAAAACATCAAGTTATGGGCTAGTATGTATGCAGCTATCAACTATGTGAAAGCATATAAAGAAAAAGGCTGGATGTTTACACCTCAAAATACTAACAGTCATTCTCTTAGGTAATGGGACTGCTAGTGGACTTCTTTGTGCTTTTTTATATTTCCCCAAATAATCAAACTTCTGTTCATTTTGTTTGTTTCCAGAGGACAGCAAAGCACACATTCCAGCATCGCTCTGCACTACATGCAGCTGAACGCCTACAACACAGCCCAACCTTTGCCCAGATCAAACCAGCTCTCTCATCCTCATTATTTTTAAAAGGAAGGGAAAAGAAATATAAGGGTTAAAAAGTGAGCTTTGGTCTTGGCGACATGGAGGTGACTGTGCCTCAGGGGAGCAGGCTGTGAGCAGACGGCAGTGGGCAGGACAGTCACTGGTAAGGTCCTCCACAGGGACCTCTCCAGAAACCTGACTGAGACAGGAAGGAAGGAGTACAATGGTACTCAGAGAGGTAGTTGGGTCACAGAGAGATTTTTCTTTCTAGGATGGAAAGGACCTGAGCGTACTTATAAGCTAAGAGGAGGGAAAGGAAGAGAAGAGCAGTCAAAACTGGTGAAAAGAAAACTGAAAGCAGGTGGAGAAGAGCCCCGAGGAGATGGAAGAGAAAAGGGCCGAATGAGCCCAAGGTCTAGTTGAGGTGGGAGGTCGTGAGTTTGCTGTGGCCCTAATCTACAAGGATGTAGGATTTATTCCAGAACATTCAGCCACCTGAGCATAACAGACTGAACAGGCAGCTTCATCTAAAGTGAGCATCTGCCTGGTAGGTGGTGCAGTGGAGTTGAGGGTGTCTGAGAACAGGGTTCAGGTGCAATCCTGGGATGCAAAGCCCAGCAGAGTAAAAAAAGTCCAGAGAGGTCATCAGATAGGGAGAAAATGGACAGGTCTGATGCCTGTATCAATAAGGGAAATCTAAATAAATAAGTATCAATAAGGGCAAAAGCAAATGGCAGCGGTAGGGGCAATGAGGCTGAAAGAGCTGGTTTGATCTGGCAAAGGCTGGGCTGTGGTGCAGGCATCTGGCTGTCATGCAGGGCAGGGCGATGCTGGAACGTGCATGTACTTTGCTGTCCTCTGGGTATGTCTTAGGTCCTCAAATGTCAGCAGGTGGAGGGCAGGGCCTTAACTCTAGCCGTGGCCTTATGCCAGCTGGTGCTCAATATTCCACAAACATTTGGAAAGCAGATTCTTCCCAACAGGAAGATCCATTTCAATAGCAAAGGCTCAGAAAGGCTCAGAAGTAATTTCCCCTTCTCTGAGCACCCTGCCCCCCAGCTCCCAGGCCCCTACTGGGTTTGAACATCCCAGTTCCCATTCTACCCAGTACTTACAGAGAAGGACCGTCCTGCCAAGTTGGAGGACTTGACAACCTCCGTTACTGTGATGGTCAGGCATGTGTTGTCTGTAACAGGAGCAACAGTTGGGGGACCGTGTGTGGGGCCTGAAACAGGGAGGAATGAGATACGGGTGGGTAGCTGTGAATGGGCCTCCAGAGAAGTAGGGGAGTTTGTAACTCTTGTTCCTAAGACCTCCACAAACCCATCCTGACCCCCTCCCACACCATGCTCAGCCCCCTCTTCCTGACTCCCCCTGGGTCCTAGCCAGGTTTCTGTTCTCTCCTGGTCATCCATCTCCCTTCCCTGGTGAATCCACAAAGTTTCTGCATCCTCAGGCACAGCAGCCATGACCAACCCCAACCCTTTCTTCACCTCCTTCTGTACCCCTTTTCAATAGAAGAAAGTCTTGTTGAATGTCCCTAAGCCAAAAATGGAAGGAAGATGTAGCCCAGGATTTGGTGTGGGACAGAGGCCCCAGCGGGTGGAGAAGGTTGGTCCCAACAGGTTGAGAGCATTTCCTTGACTTTCCTAATAGCGTATAGTGTGTCAAAAATTATCGTAGGACTGCTGCCTAGCTGCCCCTCCTTGCCAACTCAGAGGGGTTCTTGGAGATTTGTGCCTCTGAGGTAGGTTCCGGCATCAGGTCTGTCAGGGCTTTGTGGCTAAGGGAACACAAGTTAAAGTGGGGGGGCGGTGGGGGCAGGCAGTCTATTGAAGGAAATGGCAGCCAGAGATTCTAAGAAGAAAAGCTAGCACAAGTTACTACACGTCCAGTGTCTTATTGCCAGTTTAGAAATGAAAAAGCAGGTAGACAGGTCACAAGTAACTTGCCCAAGGTCACACAGATGGTAAGTGGCAAAGCTGGGCTTTGAAGCCTGCCCATCCAGTTCCAGAATCTGCACTCTTGATTAAGAGGTATTTCCAAAGTCACACGTCTCCTTCATGGTATTAAAGATCCGTAAGTAAAGAATGTCTTGCTGTGTCATCCACAAATTCAACTCACCAGCAAGCCGATTTATCAGGAAACGATCAAATCAATAATTATTTCTTGGGTTTCTTTTTGCTGGATGCCAAGAAAATTTAGAGGCGATGATATATAAGCCCATATAAGAACATCAATGCTTTATAGACAGAGAGAAGTCATAATTGGCAAAGCCACAGAGGATTTTAGAGACAGAGTATGTACTCATAGTTGGGTGCAAGAAGAGGGATCACAGATGGCTTCCTCACAGGCATTTCTGCCAGGCTAATGTGTATTTTCATTTTATATTTCTTCTGGAATATTCCAAATTCATTCATTCATTTTTTTAATGATGTTTTGGGCGTAAAGTAGCACTTCATTTATTTAGCAAATATTTATTGTGGATCTCCTGTGTACCAGGATATGTGACATGGGGGTGGGGCGAACAAGATGTATCTCTGCCTGGTTGAACTTTCTTGTTTGCTCTGAAATGATCTTCTGCAAATGTCTGTGGGTAACATCCCTTAAGTGTGGTCTGTTGAGATCTGCAGTCAAAGGGGACATGGTTGGGGCAGTGGGGAGGAACATGGGCTCTTGTCTGAGACTTCCTGGGTTTGATTCCCAGCTCTAACCTTTCCTCACAGATGTGATCTTGGGTAAGTTGCTTTCATTACTTCAGTTACCTCTCTAGTAAAAAGCTGCTAATACCTACCTCCTAGCTTTGATATGATTAAATGAGTTAATATGCTTTACATAGAACATTGCCTGGCCTCTGATAAATGTGTGCAGTGGTTAGTAATCCATGTTATCAACCTTTTCGTTACTCCAGAAGAACCAAGGAGCTGACAAGAAGAGCTTATATTTATAACTTGCTATATGCGCATAAGTGGGTATCTTTTATTATCTCCATTTTAGAGTTACATAATTAAATAACCATCTTATTATCTAGTAGATAGCTATAATTAAACAATTAGCCAGAATCCGCTAATTTGGACTAGTGGTGCCTCTGTCCTGTGGAACAATATGCAAAATAAAATATTTCCAAACCAAACACAAGTAGCTCTGACAGCGCAGTGCAGAGGCCCGAGGGCACTGCTCCCTCCATGCGATCCCTCCACCTTCCAGCCTGCGTCTCATTAGGCTGCAGAGGTGCACCCAGGGGCCGGAGCTAGAGTATGTGGTTCCTCAGAGGTGAACAACCTGAGGTTGGGGACTGTGCTCCACCCAGGCACCTGGAGCCCAGCCCTGGTCCCAGCACGGGCAGGAGCTCAAGCACATCCCATGATCCCAGGGATGGGGTGGGAGGCTTCCTTCCCCTGGCTCACCCTGTCTCCTGTCACTCAACCCTCCTCCTTCTCTCCCCACCCAACTTAGCCCTTCTTGTCCCTTCTCTCTCCCTCTGTTTTACTTTCTCAGCTCCTCACCTTCAGTGTCACTGGCTGGAAGGGCCTTGAGGACCAGCCCGGTGGCCCGCAGGGAAACGGTGACCTCTCGGGTCCGGTGGCTGAGCAGGGCCTGGGGAGGGGAATGCAGGGACAGATGAGGGTCCTCTGAGCCTTGTCCCCGTGTGTGCTCACATCAGCAGTCCTGCTTCCCACCCCTGCTTCCTGCCCCTGCCCTAAGACTCTTGTTTGGGTCACTAATGTCCAAAACAGGGTTTTGGATAAAGGCTCAGAGCACTCTTTGTCTCAGGGGGCTTGTTCAGCCTTCCAGACCCAAAGAAACAGTCTCCCATGAAATCAGTTCAAGCATCTAGTCTACTAGTGAGAAAGGATTTTTGAGCCAAGGGACTGCCTCTTTGTTCCTTAAATCAGATCACCTCCTTGCCCACACATAAGGCCAGTTGTAACCTGCTCATCCCTGCAAAACTCTCTGCAGGCTGGGAAACTCAGGGGGAGCTTCCAGAAAAGCAGCAGAGGGTTCTTGGCTCTGTCTGTGCCCCCGGCCCCTGCAAGTCCCTGACACCTGCTTCCACCAGCTGTATCTCGTGACACCTCCCCTCCCCCACCCCCCACATACCCACTGACCTTCTGGTAGCAAATGGAGAGCTCAGCCCCTGGGCCCTCGGCCGCACCTCTCCTCTTGGGTGAAAAACCATCTGAGGTATGATGAGAAGAGGCTGAAGGTGGGAGGTCGCCCCGCGGCCCCGGCCCCCACCTCACCGAGGCCTGAGCTGAGCTGCTGGAATTTCACAGCATCTCTCCCTGGATAGAAAGGCAGCACCCAGAGGTTCCAGGCTGCCTTTCAGTGTGGGCAAGCTTGAAGGGAGTCAGGGCACCCCGGTGCTCAGCGGAGGTGGGATCGGGGCATTGTTCAGTGGGAGGTGGGAGGAGTTTCTGGAAACAGGGCTTGGGGGAAGCTGAGTCAGGGAGAGCATTGGAAAAGGGGGAGCAGATGCTCACCTTTGGGGAACTTAGAGTCTTGTATCTTCACCATCAGCTCCGTGAGGAAAATGTCCTCTGTTGGGTCTTGGCTCAGGTCACTGAAAATCTAGAGGCAGGGAGGAGTGGAGGGGAGGAGGCTTGGAGAAGGCCAACTCTCTGCCAGAGGCAGCTCTCCACTCGGGGATGTGGACGGCTGAGAAGTACCCAGAAGCTGGGCAGGGGTCCCGCACGCACCCTGCCAATGCTGAATTCTGAGTTCAGCTAGTGGTTCCTTGGATCTGACTGTTCATATCGACAGCAATGTAATATATTTATAATAGAAGAAACTATTACTGAAACCCAGCTACCAGTAACCACTGCTAATGGGGTGGGCAGGAATGGGGCACAAAATTTACATGGGGTGGGGGTAATAAAATCTCTTGTAGACCCCAGTAGGGGCAGGCGAAAGGGGGAGAGCCAGAGAGGACACCTTGGCAGTCAGTCACACGCAGAGGGCGGGGCTGCAACAGGGAAGGGCTAGTGAGAGATGATTGGCTCATGAGGGCTACTGAGAGCTGATTGGTTCTCGTGAGACCTGAGGACAGCCGAAGGGAGGAGTGGCCTCTAAAGGATGAGGAGCCAACAAGAAGGCAAAAGCAAGGTGTGGATGGGGCATGAGAGGATGTCAGAACAGCAGAGAAGTATGGCTACAGGATTTTGGGGAACAGGGAATCAAGAGAGAAAGGAGGCTGCTGAAAGCTGGAACCAGGATGGTTCTCACAGCAAAGGCCTGATGTTCTCCCGTTGACTGTAAACAATTTCATAGACACCAACATTATTAGGCAAGGACGTTGGCTGTGATGGGTCAAGACAGAAACCAGACCATGCCACAATCATGTGCAAACACCGGCAAAAAAAAGAGAATACTGTGCAGGCCACATCCCCTACCCACAAATGTGCTATGCTTCTTGGAATCAAAGAATTACTTAGAATTAAGAACTACTGAGATGCCTAATCATAGAATCACTCTTGCTTCCTGACAGCATCCAATCATGCCAAAAAAGGGAGCTCCTTGGACCCCTCCCCCAAATCCCTGAACACGAGCCTAAATCCTACAAGTTCCTTCTAAGTGCCTCTTCCTGAGATAAGATTAAACGCTGAGAAAAGTCTGACCCTCCCCTCTCCTTCCCTCTAAGCCTTGTTAGTATGCACACCCTCAAAAGGAAAATAAATGGGAACTTCATAGGCTCCAAAGGTTGTTTCGCTTGTTTTAGGTTGCATTGACTCCCTGAAGGCGAAAGACAAGGAGAGAGGGAAGGACCAGGCGGAGGTGGGAGCAGAGGGGGAAAGGACAGAGGAAGGGTTTTCCTGAACCGGAGGCAGTCCATGTCTCCTGGTGAACAGCAGGTGTTGCATGAATGGGTTGCCTTTGTAGGTGTGGACAGAAGCCTGGGAAGACCTAATAGCCTCCACTCCTTTTTTTAGTAGAGTGGATGGAAAAGTCATTTGCTAAAAGTGAAGAACTTGAGGAAGGCAGTGAAGATCGGAACAGCCATGGTCCAGGGGAAGAGGGAGCTTTCCAAGAAAGCACTGGGTCCAGGGACACAAGGAATGTGCAGAGCTGTCAAGCCAAAGGGCTTCAGTTTTTTTTTTCCAAGTGGGATTCAGAAGTTCATTAGCAAAAGGTATGGCACATTGCAGCCCTTCTCTGGGTTTGGGTGTTGCTGGAGGGGGTGCCAAGGAAATGAGGTGTGAGCAGTTCAGGTAAGAAACTGGCAGGCAAGGAGGAAAGGCTAAGGACAATCCTTTCTCATGAAGATCTCCTTCAGCTTGGACATGAGGTCTCAGAAGTTAATAATTATCTGATTCATTCAGATATTAAGAAGATAAAGTTAACAACCAAGAGTGTCTGTTGAATTCATGATTTGTACCCTAGCAACCTGTGTTTCCCCAGAGCCAGGGTATATTTATGTTTGGGGTCTTGAGGTCCAGTAGGCTGGTATGGTATCTTTGGAGCCCCAGGTGGGATACTTACCTTGACTGTGTACATCTGGAAATAGATGGGTTGGGTACCCATGCGAACATAGTAGGTGATAACATCCAGGATGAAGGGGTCCACTGTCTGGGATGTGTCCAGGCAGGGAGGCTGTAAGGGAGATGGAGAATGTCTTCAGCCATCTCTCTCCATGTTACCGTGGGAGGTCCTATTTTCTTAACAGAAAAGCTCCAAAACCCTCACATACCCTCTTTGATACACTAACCTGGCTATTCCTTAAACACACTCCAAGCCTTTCCTACCACCCAAATTCCACTCCTAATCCAAATATGTTTGTCTGAAGTCCCATCTCCCCAGGGACTCTGATTCATTTCAGTTGCACAAAGACATACCAAGTATCTCGATGTTTAAGGCACTGTGCTGCATGCTTGGGATGGGCAAGATGCTTGAGAGTATAACTAATGATGAAAGAGTCTGGCCTGGGTTCTGGGTTTGGATTAGCTGCTCACTAGTCAGGTGATGCTGGGCATAAGACGTTGAGATGATCTGATGCCTCTTTCAGTTCTTGTGGTATTTCTATATATTAATAAATTAATTTGTACTTAAATGTTATTGGGAAAGGACTAGTGCCATGTTCTACAAACCTTTCTCATATGATTATAAAGCATAATGATTGGGTATTTTAGATAAAGAGAACAGAACATCTACATAGAATCTGGTGGCATCAGGGTTGGAAAGAAGCTACAGGTTTTCTCATCCAGTTTATATCCAGTCCTGTATCTCTTCTGACTCACATATGATCCATTGAAATATTGCTACCTTTAGAAAGGTCACACTGAGGAACTAAGAACTTATCTAATAATGCTGTCCTTATGCTGTTTCCAGGCTCTTCATGTGGAAATTTTTTTGGAATAAGTGTAAAGCTGTAAAATTAGTTAATTATGAAGGGGAGGAGAGCAGGAAAAAAACAAAATCCTATATGTGTCCTGGCATGGAAAAAAAGCTACCAACTGGAGAGCATAAAGGAGACCTACAACATGTTCCTGCTGTAATATCCCCCAAGTTTCAAGGAAAAGATATTTTAATACCTAGCTAAACAGTCTTTCATTTATAGGCAAAGTCATGTATAATTCATAAAACATGTGTCCTGACAAGTATCAAACGATTTCACTCATCTGTGGAGCATAAGAACGAAGCAAAAACTGAAGGAACAAAGCAGCAGCCAACTCACAGAATCCAAGAATGGTCTAACAGTTACCAAAGGGAAAGGGACTGGGGAGGATGGGTGGGAAGGGAGGGAATAAGGGGAAAAAGGGGCATTATGATTAACACACATAATGTGGGGGGAGAGGGCACGGGGAAGGCACTATAGCACAGAGAAGACAAGTAGTGACTCTATAGTTACTATGCTGACGGACAGTGACTGTAATGGGGTATGTGGTGGGGACTTGATAATAGGGGGAATCTAGTAACCATAATGTTGCTCATGTAATTGTATATTAATGACACCCAAATAAAAAAATAAAACAAAGGAAGATATCACAAAAGAAAATAAATAAATAAAACATGTCCCCACAACATCTTTATTAGAATAAAAGATATAAGAAGGTACCCCAATCAATCAGGCAATAAAGCAAAATAGAAATCTCAGTAAAGTGTCAAGTTAGAAAACAGATATATAAATATCACCAAGTTCCTTTTACACCACCAGAAACTATTATCCAAAAATAATGGGAGAAAGATACTATCCATAACTGCAAGAAAAAACTACATGAGGAGTAAATTTAGCAAAAAGTGGGTAAAAACTATGTGATGAAAACTGTAAAACTACCCTGAGGGATGTACAAGAAGGGCTTAATAGATGAGGAGCTACACCATGCTCCCAGAGATGTTAACTTAACATGTTAAAGGTGTTAATTCTCCTCCAAATTTCAATCAAAATACCAAGAGGATTAAAAAAAAAAGAAAATTCTAAAATTTATCTGAAAACAAACATAAGCATAATCTGAAAAGTTTGGGAAAGAAGAGCAATGGGGTAGGCTTATCTTCCGGGCAGAAAAATATAAAAGTGCTAACTTGTGTGAAGTTAAGAGATCAATGAGAAAGAATATGTATCCAGAAATAGGCTCAAGCATATGTAAGAATTTAGTGAATGATTAAAGTGGCATTTCAGATTGATGGGGCAAGATGATTTATGCAATAAATAGCTTTAGGACAACTGGCTAAACATTTGGAAAAAATACAATTATGTGCTTTGCATTACACAATTAAATTAACCACAGATAGGGTATTTCAATGTAAAAACTGAGATATTAAAAATGTTAAATTATCAGTGAATATTTATTTAGTCTTGGATTAAATCAAATCTTAATAATTTATAAACTAAATAATTTATAAAAACAAATAAGGAAATAAATGAATAAAAATCTAATCATCAAAGAAGGGCTCTTTTAAAACATGACTCTGAAGGCAGAAATCAAAAAGGATAAAATTGTTATGTATGACTACATAAAAATATTAAACTTCTGTAAGTCAGAGAAGACTACTGACTAAAGGTAAATAACAAAGTGGGGGAAAAAATGTCTGCACCACATATAACAGCAAAAAAGGTAAGATTCTCTTAATATATAAAGGCCTTTTCAAATCAGTAAAAGACAGGCTCTCTCCCACTGCCACCCACAGGCAGGGGTTGGCGGGTGGCAGTTGGGTCTGTGGCTAAGAGAATGTTCTCTGGAATCAAGCTGCCTGATTCCAAGTGGGACTCTACTGCTTATTTGTTGCTTAGGGCAAGGTTCCTAATCTCTCTGTGCCTCAGTTGCTTGCTCTGTAAAATGGGGATGTGACAACAAAAACAGCAGTATTTGGCAGGGCTGCTGAGTGTAAGCACTTGGAATGGTGCCTGGCTCATGTGAGAGCTCAGGAAGCATTAGCTATTACAATCACAGATAAATTAACCACAGGAAACTTCCAAGCAAGGGACTATACTTGGCCTACACACTCAGGAATGAATGTTTTACTTCGTCTCTTCCACAGTGGTCCTGACCTGAGTGCCTGAGTGAATTCCAACCACTAGCTGTTTAGGGCTCCTCTCCTGTGTTCCTGTCCTGTCTCATCCCACCCCAGAGCCCCCTAGGACTGACTCTGGAGGTCAGGGATCAGGGGTGGTACTATCTGAGAAAGCCCCCCTCCCTCCTCCCCTCACTGCCCCCTACCATCTCTGCCAGCTTGTGGATGGCTGGGCACAGCGTGTTGACGATGCTCTCATACCACGGGTCTGCACGGCCCAGGAAGGCGGCCAGCTCTCCGAGCTCGGAATGCCTGGACAATGTGGACTTCTACAGACAAGGGGATGGGGCAGAGCCGTCAGGCCCTCTTTCTGGCACTCCCCTCCTGGCTGGAGGGCCTGCAGGTACCAGTCCTAGGCAAACTAGCTTAACCTCTTCGGGCATCACTGCACCAGGTGAAGACTGTTCTGTTTTACACCTCAGGTGAAGCTGGAACACCCTTCACTGAGGGCCACTGAAAAGTGATCATCAGCCTTCAAATGGGAGAGAGAAGCACTGCTTTAGATCCAGTGCTCCCCAGGGAGAAGTAGAGGGGCGACAGGAATGAAGACTCGAAAGTGCAGCTTCATCTCCCCTAACAGGTGATGGGCTTCCATGACTGAAACTTCCTCTACGTGATCCCAGGAAGCTTGATGGGTGTGCGTGACCACCCAGTTCGAGGAGAAGCTTGTGACGAATTCCATTAGAAAAGCCTAGTGACAACTAGCAACGGGCAGGCTGTCCCCGAGGGAGACCCTATCTCTGGCGACATTCAGCCCAGAGGGCCCGTGTCTGTGGCCCTGGAGACCCCAAGGTCTCTCCCAGCTCCACGTCCCAACGCAGGCAGATCCCAGTTCCTGGAGCCAGGGAATGAGAGGCTGCAGGAGTCCCTGCCCCGCCCCTAACCGAGACAAATGCTCGCGAACGCCCCCAAATCCCCACTTCCCTCCTCCCCTCCCCCATCCAGCCACCTGGGGTGCCAGCACCCGGATGTAGTAGAGCTGCAGGCTGAGTCTGGGAGTGAGGCAAAACTTCTGGGTCTCTCGTTTCCTAGCAAGGGGCAACAGAGCACAGGAGTAAGGGCAAAGTTTGGGCCTCAAACAGTTCCACATCCTGGTTCTATTTATGATTTATATTATTATCTCGCTGTTTATTTATGTATTGACTTTCAATTCACCTAATCCCTCTGAACCTCTGTTTTCCTATCTATAGAATGGATGCAGTGACATCTGCCTCAGAGTGAGGAGGATTATGGTGCTTGGAGCTGGTGAATGCAATGCTCCCCACTCCGCAGTGCTCTGAGTTGGGCTCCGACCAGCCCCAGCCCCAGCCATCGGCTCCAAGCCCTACCTGAGGCTGTAGTAGGCCTGGGCCAGGCGCCCCAGCATCCGGTCGTCCCCCAGCACCAGCACCCTGGCGGTGTAAAGCCGGGAGATGCCAGGCAGCAGTTCCCCATCCCCACTGGGCCTGCCAGTCCTCCGGTGCAGCTCTGGGGACCCATCCCAGCTGACGGGCATCAAGATGTCTGGGTGCCACGCCCGCTTCTTGATGCCCCCTTTGCGCTGCAGCCCGGGACGCTCCATCTCAGGGCTGCTGGGTGCGAAGAGCTCGTCGACCACTAGAGAAAGGTCCCTCTCGATGCCGCTGTCTCTAGACAGCACGGACACCCGGGCCAACTCCTGGTCTGGCCAGAGGCCCTGCAGATCCAAGGCCTCCAAGTCAGCACTGAGGCGCAGGTAGGATCGTGGGCGCAGGAAGAGCACCAGTTCCTTCCCTGGGATGCGGGGAACAAGGGGACCATCAAGGCAGAGAAGGTGTGTGAGGCTGACAGGGCCTCATCCCAGCAAGGCCCTTGGTTCTGTTTCTCAAACATTGTTCAGCTGAACAGAAGGCCCACAAGATGCTCCACGAAGGAACAAAGGTTCTGTGGCCAACAAGGACTGAGAGCCCCTCACACTCCTGCCACCTCTTAAATTCTATTAGTAAACATATTATAGGCTCTGAGAAGTGCTGCAGTAAAGAAGTCAGCGTCACACAGTAGTACCTCCTGCGTTTTGTGACCCTGGAGCCCTCTTTATCATATCCACTCATGAGCATCCTCCCATCCTCCCACTCCCTGTAGCTTCCCCTGGGACACAGCTAACAGACCACCAGCTCCAGGGAAGACTTCTAGGCTTTTCCAATCTACCTTCATTTTATTATACACATGGAAGCTGAGGCCCCGAGACAGAACTGAGTCAGGCGAGGGTGATGCAGCACATGAAAGGAAGTGTCAGGACTTGAACGCAGTCTATCGACCAGTCCAGCACCCTTATCTTCTCCCCTCCCTTGAGAAGAGTCAGAGGGATAGTGGGATGTGGACAGGAAGTGTCAGGTGAGGGAATTCCTTCTGAAAGGCCCCTTCTATAACTTTTTTTGTGACTGGCTCTTTGGGGACATTCACTGTCTACCGGCATCATCACGGGCATGTGGCACTTTCTAGGCACATGAGGCCAGTGGCCAATGCACTGAATTATTCTGACATATAGAAAACATGTCCTTTCAGATGTACGGAACAACTCTGGGTCCAAGGAGCACACACACCAGATGCACATACACACAGACATACACGACACAGATACACATACTAGATATACACATACACACGCACACAAAGCAGACACACACACCCAGACACACACAACAGCTACAGCACATATACACACATGCACCATTTCCAGCCAGCTCCCCACAGAGGGGGTCCAAAGCATGGCACTTACAGAGCTGCTCTTCATCCGTCCACAGGTGGAAGGTGATGTGGGGGCTGGGCAGAGGGATGCCCGGCTGCCGGTCTTGGAGGGAGTCACCTGAAGGAAGGAGCAGGCTGTGGGGACCACGGAGAGGGCTGTGGATTCTCCTCTGCCCTCCCTATGCTCCACAGCATTTGTGGGGGCCCAGAGGTGGGGTGCACGGACTCTCTCGCTCCTATATCTGGTCTAGTCTGTCCTCTTCTCAGTCCCCACTCGCTCATCCAGGGATGAACACAGCAGCCGACCCCTTCCTACCCAAGAATGCTTATCGGCTCCCCGTTTCCCTGCCAACTTCCTAGCTCAGCCTTTCGGACCCTTCACAAACCAGCTCGCAGTCTTTCCCAGCCTTTTCTCCCATCGTTGCCCCGACTCTCAGCCCCCATCCCTTCCCCAGAGGTGGGCTGCAGCCCTGTGCCTTTCCCATTGTTCTTTGATTAGTGTAGCACAAGAACCAGATTAACTGGGTTTGTATCTTGCCTCCACCACTTACTAGTTGGGTGATCTTGGGCAAGACTTTTAGCCTCTTTCTAACTCAGTTTTCTCATCTATAAAATGGACGATAATAATACTTTCACTCGCATAACTTTACTCTGAGCATTGATTTAACATGACATATTTAAATATGTGTAAAGTGCTTAGAACAGCAACTGGGTACAGCGGATGCCCAATATGCGTCAGCTGTTCTTATGACCAAATTACCCACCTTCTTAGCCCACGACCTTCCGAATTCCCGGGCTGCCCTCAGGCCCCTCCTCCTGCGAGCGGCCGTGTGTCCCACCCCGCCTCAGCCGCGCCCGCAGACTCGAGGCAAACCAGCGCTGCTCTCTGGCGCCCCCTGCCCGCTCGCCCGCCGGCCGCTTACCGCCGCAGCGCCCCCTGGCTGCCGCCGCCGGCCCCAGCAGAGAGCAGTAAATCTCCTCCAGCCTCTCCAGGTGTCCCTCCCGGCTCGGGCTGGGCTCGCTAGCCATCTGCTCCACGGCTGCTACCACGGCGTGGAAATAGTGCTCCAGGGTGTGGCGGGGACTGGTCTGTCGGGGAGGGACGTCAGAGCCTGGGTTCTGGCCCAGCCACCAACCACCTCAGCTCCAGTGCCAACTGTGCGGGCGTGTGGACAACCCAATGTAGCACCTTGCCTCGGCCTGGGGGCCGGGCTGGGCTTCCCCTGAAGGCTTCTGCACCCCGCTTCTGCCAGGACACAGCTGTTGCGCGATGCTGTCTGCCACTGCGGGTCCCTTTTACCCCTGACACCCTGGTATGGGAACCAGAGGAGCAGGGATAACTGCTGCTGCCCACTCTGCTTGGAGCATCAACCAGCACTTGAATCAGTGTTCTGTCTCCACCTGAACGTAAACTCCAGGAAGCAGGCGTTTTTATGTTTTATTTACAGCTGTATCTCCAGGACCTAGAACATCTCCCAGCAGATAATAGGTGCTCCATAAATATCTGACGATTATTTCCTAAACTTCTGTCATTCCTATACTACCTTGACATACCAGCCATACTATTATTTACTCATAATTTTCCTTTAAATCAGCTCACTTTTTTTGGTTCAAAAGGAACAGTTTTATTGCAACTCTAAATAAAAAGGCTAGTGTCACTTGTCACAAGTGGAAAATAAATCAGACAAATATAATAATCACAAAGAATGATTACTAAATTCTAGCTAGGTTCTTTGACCTGCCAAGACTTTAGATCCTGAAGCTTCCTTTCTCTTCTTAAAAGAAGATGTTAGCAAGTATGAAAGAGGCTAGGGGCAAAGCACCAAGCTGAGGTTTTTTCTTTAATGGAAACAGGTTTTGAAAGTTTCTCCCTGTGCCATTCCATGCTCTTTGGCACTGTGTCCTCTAGGCTCCAGTGGTACAGGTCTGGCACCCTGGGTCATGTTCTCTGGCTGTTTCCCTCTCCCCCTCCCACCACTAACTCACCCATCTCATAACTGGGTCCAAGATACAGGGCCCAAGAAAGTGACGTGGGCAGGTACACCAGGGCTGCTCTAATCTCTGTCTGTGCTGGATATCTGCTGAGCCAGGCCTTACCTTCCTGGGTTAAGGGCCAGTGGGTCATCTGACTAGCTAGGGCTCCAATAAATACTTGTTGAACAAACAAATGAAAGAAAAACAATTAGAGGAATATGGAATGAGAGTTGGAAGGGGCCATAGGGAACATTTCATCTTGTAGCTTTGTTTTATAAATAAATTCATTACATATTTATTGAGTAACAAATAGTTAAGTATTTACCCACTATGTGCCAGGTACTGTTCTAGGTACTGGGATACAACACTGAACAAAACACATAAAAATTTCTGACCTTATGGAGTTTATATTTTAGTATGTGTGTGTCTCCCTCTGTGAGTTAATGAACAAGTCAAATTTGTAATAGGATAAATAACAATATGTGCTGAAGGGAAAAAACATGCAGAGAAGGAGGATGTGAAATCTGGGGAGGGGGCTGAGATTTTAGATAGCATGATCAGGGAAGTCTCACTGAGAAGTGGCTTTTGAGTAATGACCTAAAGGAATGGAAGGCATGAGCCATGGGGATATCTGAGAGAACTTTCCAAGCACAAGGAATAGAAGGTGCAAAGGCCCTGGAGTGTGGGCATGTTTGAGAAACAGCTGAGGCCTGTGTAGCTGTAGCACAGAGAATGTGCTCCAAAAATTGCCCTCAGCTGAGGGAAAACCACTTCTCCAAGGTCGTGCTCCCTTCCTGAGGAGAGCCACTGCCAGTAACTAGCAGATGTGGAAGTACAAGAGCCTGTCCCCCTCACCCTAACTCAGGACAGCTCTGAAAGGCCAGCTCGGCTCCAGAGCTTCCTATAGAACCAGCTGTGGGTGAGCACTTTCTGGAGCTCAGTAGAACAAAGAAATGAGGAAAAGAGGAAAATTCGACCCTGAGAAGCTGTTACCAGTTTGCTGTCCCACTGCCAACCCAGCAAGATCTGGTTCCCAAAGCTGTGTCTCCAGACTTCGTCCTTGGCCTCCTTCCCACATCCCTCCAGAAATTCCCGGCTTTAAAGGTTTTGCAAAGAAGCCTCCCCTGGTTCTTATTCCCCTGACCCTACAAGGGGAAGCCCTACCTGGAGACACCCCATCTCCAGTACCCAGAACACAGTGTAGCGGGCAGAGAGATGGTGTGTCCCGAGCTGACCTCCCAGTTTGGAGACCTTGTAACTGGTCCCAGGAACACGTGAGGACACCAGTCGACTCCCTACCTGGGCCTCAGACCAGGCCTCAGCAGACAGGATGTGGGCTGGTGGTCAGATAAAGCCTACCCACCAGACCGTGACTGGCCGTGCCACCTCTCCCAGGCCCCACTTGCCCTCGAGCCAGCAGGTATGACTGGGAATGGCATCCCCAAGAGGCAGCATTCCAGATAAGGGGGCTGGAAGTCCCAGGGGTGGGGTGCAGAGTGGCGGCTGAGACAGCTCCAGGCCAGGCTGGTGTCTAGGAGTCCCAGCTCCTAACAGGGAGGAAAGGTGCCAGGACACTGTTGAGGAAACCATAGCATTAAGCTTCCAAGGGTCTCTAACTTAAGACCAATGATGCATTCCAGAGTTTCTCTCCCCACTCTTCTTTAGCTCCTCCCCCAGTCCTCTGTACATAAAAATGGATGCTCATCAGAGCAGTGGGCTCTGGATAAAATGAGGTGGGGGGCATAACATTTTGACTATGCCTAAAAATATATAGGTTTTATACTTTCAACATCCCTGTGATCTATTGCAAAGTAGTGTATGCAACAGACCTGCTAATTCCAGCCCTGAACTCCACTCCATTCCTGACCTGGTGGTCTCAATCCTACCCCATACCTGACACCCTCAAACCCAGTCCAGCCACATTCCTAAGTCAACCTCTGAATCCCAGGTGCATCCAACTTGGGGATAGAGTGAGCCTTGGAATCATCTATTGCCCACATCACTGAAGAACAGAGATCACTGTTCTTACAGGTCTGACTTGGTTGGGTCAAAATGCACCCCCTCTGTGGCCTGTTTGGTGAGCCAGAAATGATTGCCAGAACTGCTGGAGGGGCACGGGTGGGGGGCTGCTGGGTCAGCAAGCTGCAGTCAGAAAAGCTCCCCCGACCCCTTCCCGAGTGACACACAATTGCAGGAGAAAACGTGGGTGTCTGTGGGGAAGCCAAGGAGGGGCTCAGGAAGGAGCTGGATGGGGGCATTCCTCTAAGCGCAGCGTGTGCTGTGAACTCCTCAAAGGGCAGCTGTGGGGCGGGGAGGAGGCAAGGATGTGGGGTGGGGGTAGGACTCAGGAAAACTCAACAGGTCCAAGCACGGGGGCAGCAAAGAAATTGTGTTCTACAGGTGTGAAGGGCACTTGCAGAGAAAAGGAATGGAGAAAACAGTCAATACAGTTTAAGGAGGGGCCCAGCCCTGCGTAAGACACCCACCAAGGGAGGGATCCAAGGCCTAGGGCTCAGAGGGCGGAGGGTTCGTGCAGAAAACGACAGGAGTGACGCACCCGGTGTGTTTTGATGGGCAAAGCAGGGTCTGAGAGCCCAGCTGGGGTAGGACAAGGAGGGCTGGCTGACCCCTCGAGGGAACCTTCCCTTCTGACGCCTGCCTGCTCCTGCCATGCTGGCACTTCAGCCCTGAGGCAAAGCAGCTCCGAACCTCAGCCAGTGTCCAGTCCAGCCCTGCCAGAGGACAGGAGCTTCTCCCACATAAAGGTCCCTTCCTAGAGTCCTGGACTCTTTGCTCCAGGTGATGCCCTCCCCAACCCAAAGTCCAGCATCTGGCACAACCTCTGGCTAGAGAATCGCCCCTGCTGGAGTCTTGGCTGTGTACAGGGGCCGAGGCTGTGTCAGAGAGAAAAGCTAGGGAATCAGTGGGTGAGTGTTGGAAACTAATTAAATGCCCACAAGAGGTACAAGGGACTAGTTAGATAAATAACAGCACATTCCCGACAGAGAATATTGTGTGACCATAGATGTACCTATTTTCTAAGGAAAATATTTCCATATGGCATATTTCCAGTGGTATAGGGAAATAGATTTTGTATATATATATGCACATATGCATTCAGTATATAAAACTGTATAGAGTTTGATACCTTAGTTTGTTATAAAAGAAGGGTGGAGGAGTGGGACTTGGAGACAATTAAAATAGACTTGAAATCAGACAGATCTGATTTCAGATAAATCTGACTGAGGCACTTGGTATCTGTGTGACCATGAGGTGGTTATCACATTCTCTGTGCTTTAGTTTTGATAATTATATGCATTTCACAATGTTGTGGTGAGAGTTTTTACATGTGATACATATAAAGTGTTTAACACAGTGTTGGAACCCAAAGACATTCAATAAACTGCTATTATGACTCTCACTGTCATTATTATTAAGGAAATATACCAAAATGTTCATTGCTAATACATCTGGGTAGCGGGGCGTGAGTGATTTTCATTTTCTCTTTCGGCTTACCTGAGTTTTTTCAGATTCACCTTAGCGAACATGTATTCATTTTTGCTTTAGGAGAAAAAGTGATATAAAAACAGGAGAAGGGGAAGATGAGGAGAGTGACCACTGGTGTGAGTGTGCAGGGCCCAGGCTGGAACCAGCAAGGGCTGGGGCAGGGCAGTTACCTGCAGCTTTCTTTGCAGAGCACCTGCCTGGCAGGCCTCTCCCAGAGCTGCCTGTAGGGCGTGGGACACCACGTGGCACATGCAGGCCTCTGGCGTCTGATGCACCTGGGCTGCCTCGATCTCCAGCAGCAGGGCACTGCACACGGAGGGAGATACCAGCTCAGGATCCACGAAGAGGAACACTCTGAGGGCAGAGGTGGGGTGGGGTCTGATGAGGATGGCTCCTGGGAGAAGAGCCACTGGATGGCACCCTTAGAACCTTGCAGTCCCCCAAGTATTTAGTTCTGTCAAAAACAGGAGGCTCAAATTAAAAAATGTATGGAGGTGACAGCAATAGGGAGTGGTAGGGACTGTGGCAAATAAGAATAGGCATGCGTGGCCCTTCTAGAGGGGCAGCTGGTTCCTCTTGGTTCCTCTAGTCTCCTGTCTAAGTGAGTTCCAACCTAAATGCGCTCCCTCCTTCAGTGTCATGGCCCATTGATGACATCACCCTCTAGGAGGGACCTTAAGTCCTTTCTGCAGAAACTGGAGCTCTGAATACTGAGTGAGTCCCATCTTCCCTGTCCTTACTCATCTGTGCTGTCCTAACCTCTCCAATGCTAATTCCTCTGGATCCCTTCACCTCCCTGCATCAGCCGTGATCAAAGAGACTGAAGCTGCCACTTTCATAGCCAGGTCAGCAGAGGCACCTGTAGGGGAGGCAGCTGTGCAGGCCAATGCCATGAGCTCCTCCTCACAAGGCGAAGAGTGGACACTTCCTCAATCTTATCTAAAGGGCTAGGCACACACAGATGAAAGCCCACAGATTTCAGAGTGCGATTGTGGCCTGAACTGTAGCTATTCTGGAGACGCCTCTGGCCGCCTGGCTGGCTGATGTGTGTGGCGTGGCCAAGGGCAGGATGGGGGTGGAGCAGCAGAACCCCAGAATGGCCCAGGGCTCATGTTCCCCTTCTACATGTGTGCAAGAGAACTCTATCCAGCCCAAGAAGCAGGAGCTAGCCGGCTTCCCATGATCCTCACAGAAGGGCCAACCCAGGCCACCCTGGCAGACACCCTCCACTGTTGGACAAATGTCGTGGATGGGAGCTCTGCTGGGGCTCCTCGCAGTCCAGCCTCCTGTCTTGTCCTCCCATCAGTGAGCAGTCACACAGTCCCAATACGTGGAGGGGGCAGAAGGGAATGCCCTTTCTGGGGCCACTCACCTTTCCTGGTAGGGATACAGTTCATTTGTCAAGTTCTGTTCGGCAATGACCAGCCTTTGGTACAGCGTCCCTGCAAAGCCATCCAGCCCTTGAGTCTCTGACCCCCCATTCCCCACCCTTCCCACAGAAGGTGCTGGGACTTTTGAGCTCCCAGAATTCTGGAGAAAAAGGCAACCCTTGGGTGGAGCTGGAGTCACAGTGGGAGAACAGTCGCGGCAGCTCTTACCCGGGACAGCCGCTTCTGTTTTCAGCCTTATGGCACAGTCCAAGGCGACCATGCAGTAGGGCGTGGGCAAGGTGAGTAACCTGATGCAAAAGGCATAGGTTCTCCGGTAGAGCTCCTCTGTGATGCCCGTGGCCTGGGTGAGAGGGAGGAGTTGGGATGTCCAGAGCTCTAGGTCATGTGGGGTGCTGGGGCAGGACCGGAGGAAGGGCAGACCTGACGCAGGCCTGGGCCCACACTGCACTCCCAAATCTACACCTTCACCCCCCCTCTCCCAGCATCTGCACAACATCTCCTCCTTGACAGCCAACTCAGGTTCACCAAGATGGACATTCATCCCATCCCATTCAGCCACCCAGTCAGCTCCCCTTCCAATCTGGCTGCTCTGCTGGGATAGGGCACATCTGCAGTTTTCCAGGCTCTTGACAAGGGAGGCACTTCTAGAACTTGCTTGTTCCTCCTTGCATCCCAGAGGCTCCCCTTCCTCCCCAGCCCTCTGCTTGGCTGGACCCCAGCCCTGACTCTGATTCCAGCAACCGCAGAACCACACACAGCTCCTGCTTACTCTTCCCAAGACAGTTCCTTGGTATCACGTCCTTTCTCTGCATTGGGATCAGTGACAGCTCCTGTTGCACATGAGCAAACCTAAGACCCCCTGCGGGCATTGGAGACGCTCTGTGCATCCTGCACCCTGCTTGGCTTCCCCCATTTCTCCCATTTCATGCCTTCTGTATTATGGAGAGGGCACCGCTAGTGCGGAGACACCAGTTTAGGGCATCCAAGAGTTCTTCCAGGCTCCCCCAGGCAGACTAGGTGTCCACTGATGGGGGAAGACAATGTCCAGCCCAGCTACTCGTGGGTCCCTGATCCTCGGCCCCAGCTCACCTTGGTGAGCACGTACATTAGAGTGTGCAGCAAGGGAATGATGACATGCCGGAGGTCCTCACTTTCTGCCTGGAAAACAGGTCACAGGATGTTTATTGGGCTGGAGGTTGAGGGGGCTCCTCACACCCTAGCAGGAGGCAGTGTGGGGTAGAGGGAGGATGGGCAGAAGATGGGGTGGAAGGCAGTGTCCCACCATGCCGAGGGGAATGGAGAAGTGTCAGTCTGCCCTGGGAGAGGAGGAGGAACAGGATGGGAGGTGTAGGGGCCCCGCTGTGGGAGCACAGGGAGGGGTGCAGGGAACTCCGCTGGGGAGAAGGGCCTTGGCTCAGGGCAGGAGCCAGCAGCAAAGTGCCCAGCAGGTCCCCGACTTGGAAGCTCCCCTGTGTGCAGCATCTCCCAAATAGTTGTACTCAGAGCATCAGGAGGTGGGGAGGACAATTTTAGGTGGTGCAAGGATAATTTTGAAAGTGTTAATAGTGATTGTGTTTATGTTCATAGGTTTATAGGTGTTTTCTGTTTCTGCAATGATAGGGGCTTTCCATTTATGGTCATGTTACTGAATCTCTTTTTGAAATATGTTAACTCAAGTAAAACAGTGGGTGTTATGTAAAGAAAATACTGCATATAGAAAAGTACAGAGGGAGACATGTGGCAAGAATCATGCAGGTGGTCCGCAGATAACTAAAGCTGGGGGTCACAGTGTTGGTGGGACTGGGTCCTCAGCTGGACTGACTTCTGTTCCTCTCATCCCATCTGCCTCCCCAAGGCCCCAAAACCCACCTTCTCCAGTTCTCTGAGCAGAATTCGGACCAACGCTGGACTCTTGCCAGGATCTCGCTCAACCTTCTTGTGCAGAGACCATCTCCACATGCCTGGGCCAGGGGAAAGGGGAGCCCAGCATGCAGGCAGGGCAGGGGGCTCTTAGAGGAGACCCTGAGTCCTGGAGACCCAGACTGTGATTCTGACCAGCCACAGGTCTGAGCCCTCAGCCGGGCACTTGGCTCCAGGCACTCACGGGTGGGCTTCTCTCAGGTGGGGAAGTTCTGATCTGCTGCCCTCTAGGAACAGCGGGCTCCCAGGGCAGAAGGGAGGGGAGGTGTGACTAGTGGGGACAGGTGTGTGTGGGGGTGCTGGGGGGGCGCTTATGGAGCAGCAGTGTTGGAAAAGCAACGTTCAGAGGTCCCGTTTCTGGAAGTCATGTGAGCCTGGAGCACAGAGGAGATTCTGTTTCCAAGGGGAGCTGGGGCAGGTGGTTGAGAGAGGGCAGGTCTCTAACGCACTCTGCCTTAGTCCCCAGGAGGGTGAGCCAGGGAGCAGAGACGTCTTTTTGGTGCATTAGGCTCCAGGCATCTCCAGCAGGAAGGGGGCTTGGCTGGAACCCCCTCCCTCTGCGCTCCTGACCATGAGACCGAGCGGCGTGGGCCGGGTGGGGGAAGCAGAGGGAGCAGCAGGCTGCGTGCTGGCTCTTACCTTGGTGTCCCTGCATGGCCGGGGCCTGGACGCTCAGCTCCCGGAGCACAGCCTGCACGCTCCGCTGGAGGTCCAGCTCCACATCTAGGCAGCAGGGGTGGGGAGAACTTGGAGGCCAGAGGATTTGATGCTTTGCTCCCCTGGCGTTACCATCACCACTCTCCCTGATAATTTCTTCAGCCCTTCTACAAGCTGCAAAAGGTGCTGCAAAATAGTCAACTCAGAGCCAGAAGCCAGCATATGAGCCAAGGCTGGAAGACAGCTTTGCAATCAGCATTTCTGTGTCTTTGAAAAAGCAGCATTTTTTTCCAAAGTGCTGTACAGATACCACTACTGGTTCACAAGACAATTCTAGATGGTACACAGTGATCCTAAAATTGAATAATTATGCCCTTATTTTATTAGGTACTAGAAAAATATATAAAGTCAATTTAAAAAACATAGCCGATAATACTAGAACAGGAAGTGGCAGACTCCCCCTGATCAAAATGTGCTCTGGCTCTGCTGAGCCTTCTTCTCCACTCGGCCCTGCCCGTGGCCTCTGTCACGTCTTCGGCTTTCCTCACCCAGTTTTAGCAAAAATCCTACTGTCAATTTATAGAGAATCCCACACTTTGGTATCTAATCAAGTTCATCCCCCACCTTTGGTCTAACTCCTTCACCTGCCTCTATGTAGCAAGAATCCTGTTAGGTTCATTTAGCAAGAACCTGCCCACCCTGGATGTCTCCTCCCAGTAATTCTCCACTGACTGATGCCCTGGCTCTGTTCATTGGCTGTAAATCCCCCACTGTCTTTGCCTTCCCTCTCTCCCCTATTGCAATAGTCTTGAATAAAGTCTCCCTATGCTCCCTTATAGTGTCAGAATAGTTTTTTCTTTAGTACACTGACACGGCAGAAGTGTGAAGGTAGTACAAGAATTAGTAACTGGCATTTGGTAGCAGTGAGGATGAGCCTTCCACTGCAGGGAGTTCAACTGACCAAAGCTGGGGGAACTTTGGGCTTCTGTGCAGCAAAACCTGCTGCTTTGTGCCGGGGCCACGCTTCCCAGCCAATGGGCAGAGCAGCAGGGATTTTAAAGCAGGGAAGATGGGGACCTTCTCTGATGGCTGACTTTGGCTCAGGGATTCCCCAACTGCCCCATAAGCCTTTCTTGATCACCCATCAGTCTAACACATTTCTACCAGCCCTTCTTCTCTTTCTCCTTTGGTCAGAGTCAGATTTCACAGCACTATAGTCTGACAGCTCACTCTTCTGGCCTTACCCGGCTCCCTCTCCATTTTTTTTACTGGCCTTTGGGCGCTTCCCCACATAAATCCTTGCTTGTCTAATCCTGTCCTGGTATCTCCTTCTTGGAGGACCCAGATCAACGCAGGAAGCGTGGGAGACACTCCCCACACCATAAATTCTTCTTTACGATTAGTTCCAACTAAGAGTTTGTCTTTACAGGCAAGTGTACATTCTCTGGCTGTCAGACAATACAAACCACATGCCCCAGGGGTTCCCCTTTTGCTTTAGCTGTCAGGAAACTTACAGTCAAATTGGGGTCTACTTTCAAAAACCAGCTCATCATGAGTAGCAGGGACCTCTCTTCTTTGCTCCTCGCTGGTGCTCCTGATTCATGTTCTACTTAGCACATATCTTACTTGACTTGGATGCTTTTGAAAGTAGGTAGGATAGAGATTACAGATTTTTAAAATTAGCAGGTTACTGTCCAAGAGCTAGAATTTGTTCAGGCCAAGGCACAGGGTGCCCTGGTGCTCATGGACTGGCCTCCCAGGGCTCTGGGGTGGGCCCACGCAAAGTTTGCCAGGACCACCTGGCATTTCTGACACCCCCACTTTCCTCCTGTCTCTCATTTGTCCCCTAAGACCACGGTAAGGCCTGTTCTGAGTCTCCTCCAGGCTGAGAGTGGGCAGTGAGGGGACAGGCTGTGATAGCCCACATTTGAACACCTGGCCACTCTGCTGGGCAGGGCAGCCTCTCCCCAAACTGGCAAGGAGCTCATTTAGCCTGTCACGAAGGCTGTCTTTCCATCTACCTGTCTCTACCTTGCATGAAGACTTAGTAAACTCATGCAGGGTGAGTTATTTAAAAATCATAAAAATCATGTGTCTTCTTTCTTCTTTCCTCTTTCCTCCCTTTCCCCTTTCTCTATCCCTGCCTGCCCACCACACCATGGACTGCATAAAAGACTTAAAATCGGGATAACTATGATTTCCTCCTAGTTCCCTCACTAGAAGGGCAGCCAAACCTTTGTCCTCTGAGCTCTAGGTTACCCTGTTTTGCAAAAAGAGTTAAGTTTTTATGTTTCAGAGAAAAATAGAGAAGTTGTCAGTAGCCCCGGGAGACAGCCCCAAATAAACTTTGTTTTCGAAAGTCTGGGCAGCCGGAACAGACTGTCAAGCTTTGGTCCACATCTGGCTTGCAGGCCTGTTTCGTTTGGGCTTGTAGAGCATCTTGGAAAAAAATTACATTAGCTGCCAACATTTACAAATCAGGAGATTTTGCATAAAACTTTGGATTTCTGGCCTCTCTTGAAAGTCTGTTGACACTGGACATGCATTCTTGTCACCAGTGACAACTGTCAGGGCTGGGGAGCAGCTACCCCCTTGACATAGGGCACGGCCTCTCTGGTTCTTCATGGGTCCCACTCTCCTTGTTTCTCTCATTTATATCCTCTACCCCGCTCCTTGACCTTGAGACCCCTGGGCATCTAACTGAGACGATCAAGCTGGACTGTCCCCAAAAGATGCGGATGACTGCTGCAGCTTTTAGTTAAAGAGGTAAGTGACAACCCAAGGGTAGGAGGTTGGATTTCCCAAGACTCTGAGGGCACAAGGGTTATGGGGATCCAGAGAATGAGGAAGACCAGGGCTGGCTGGGACATAGCTTGCTGGTGGTGGCCAAGATCTCAGATGAGGACAGCTAAGCACTAAACTTTGCGTGTTTGAATGCCACTGCTATTATCTCCTGGGCCACCTTTACCAGAGTACAAGAATGCCTTAAAGACCCTGCTCTCTCCCTGTGGACCATGAATGCCTAGCCAAGCTGTTCTGGGGGCTGCAGCCGCAGTGGACTGCCGACCATAGACTTTGCCCATCATCCAGACTTTGTAACCCCTGGGCTTGTTCACCAAATTTCAAGGAGCAGGGAGGCACCCCTAGTGAGTGACATTGGAATTTATACTGACCTTGGAAAATGGGAGTTTGAAGTGGGATTTGATTTGATTAAGCAAAGGAAAGAAAAGGACTATTTCTTGTGTCTGAAGTGCCTCAGGGTTGTTTATATGTGCATGCATGTCTAACGTAATTCTTGACTCAGGACAGCCAGTAAAGAAGTGATGTTCAGTATTATTATCCTTCCCTCCATCCAAGAATGTGGGGTGTTACTATCATGTATCCATATTACTAGTAATTCCTAACATTTAAATAGCATCTGAAGGGCATATACTCAGAGAGTCTTACAGATGGGTAGCAAGGCAATATTATATGCTCTGGGAACCAATTTCATTTTAGTTGCAGGTAGATGGGAAGGCTGTATTTCCTGGACTCCTCTGCAGTGAGAGAGGAGCCATGTGACTGAGTTCTGGCCAATGAAATGTGGAGGAAGTGATACCTGCCACTTTGGGGCCTGGTCATAAAACCCTCTGCACTTCCCTTCATGCTCTCTCTCCCCATTCCATGGTGATCTTGGAAAGCATGTGTTGAAGAAGACGGTGTCATGGGAGGGAAGAGGCCACTGTCCCTGAAAGGCTGTTTGGAGCTCAGATTGGATGGTAAAGTGAGTGAGAAACAAATATTTGTTGTGCCAATCCACCGACACGGGGTCATTTGTTGTGGCACCTGCTGGCATTCTCTGCTGACTTGTGGACATATAAAGTATTTCCTAGTATTTTATCTCCTTGGATTCTCAGCAGAGCCCTGTGATTTTGGCAAGACAGATCTGTTCTATCTGTTTTGTGGAGTCCAGGCCAAGAGCCCTTGCCCTTGCCCCATATTGCCTCTCCAAACACAGAAGTCAGACCCAGAAGAAACTCGGAGGCTCTCTTCCCATTTTACAGATGGGGAAGTGAAACTCAGAGGGGAGAGGGATTCACACAAGGCCACAGAGCTGTTGGGGCAGGGCCCTCTCTCTGTCAGTGCTCTTCCTTTGGGCATGCGCCCTTATGTGTGCCCGTCACCTGCTTATGGGGAAGAGAGAGAAGACGGTACATCCAGGGAGACTCTGAGCGTCTGTCTGTCTATCTGTGCCTGGGGTTCGATTGCAGAAATAAATGCCCCTGAGAAAGTTGACTGAATAAAAAAGGGTTCCCAGCTCTTAAACCAGGCTAGATGTTATTACAGCTAAAGAGACTGTAAGGAGGGGAGGAGAGGAAAAGCTGACAGGGTCCTGACTCATAGCCCAAGGTCTGCTCCTCAATTTCAGGCCATTCAAAGCTGTCCTAGTACTTGGCAATTCCAACTCTCCATCGTCTTGGGATCCTGGACAGGGCCAAATCTCTCCCCAGCCCATTCCTAGGAAGTTTGCCTTTTCCCTAGTCCCCAGTCTTGGTTGACCACTAGAATCACTTGGGAAGCTATAGAAAACATCAATGTACAGTCCACCCTAAACCAGAAATCGTGGAGTGCACTTTCTAATCAGGTTTTGAAAGCAGCTCTTCAGGAGAACCTAATGTGCAGCTACAGTGAGAATTATATTGTAGGTCATAAGCTTAGGGCTCTGGATAATTGATCTGTCAGTCAAGGAAGGAGTTAAGTGTCAAGGCGCTTACAGTTCACAGAGGACAACCATCCCTGAATTAAGGATGAAGGTCATGGTGTCAGGATGGCTTCTACATGGTGATGCTCCTGCCTGTTCTGATGTTGGGAGGACATTCAAAAGAATGTAATTGGAGAAAGCTGATCTTTGTTTTTGTTAGCTTGCTTGTAATAGGTATGACTTTTGTTCAGAAAGCAACCCTTGAGCTGCATAGCAGACACCAGTGCTCTCTCTTGGGGTCCAGCCATGCTGTGAATAAAATCATCAAAGATTTTTTTCTGAGCAGACCAGTCTTGGCTTTTTTTAGGTTAACCCATATACCATTTGTGATGGTTAATCTTATGTGTCAACTTAACCGGGCCATAGGCTGCTCAGATATTGGGCAAACATTCTTCTGAGAGTGTCTCTGTGAGGGTGTTTTTGGGAAGGGGAACATTTAAATCAGTAGACCAAGTCAGCAGATTGCCCGCCCGCATGTGGGTGGGCTTCATCCAATCAGTTGAAGGTCTGCATAGACCAAAAGGCTGGCCGTCCCCAAACAAGAGGGAGTTCCTCTTGCTTGATTGGGACAAGCTGGGACATCAGTTTTTTCCTGCCTTTGGACCTGATCCAAAACACTGGGTCTCCCTGAGTCTCAAGCCTAAAACTACACCAGAGGCTCTTCCAGGGCTCCAGCTTGCAGACTGCAGATCTTGGGACTTGGCAGCCTCCACAGTCATGTGAGCCAATTCCTTATAATAAGGTATCATCCTACTTGTTCTGTTTCTCTGGAGAGTTCTAATACACCCAGAGGACCATGGCATCAGTATGGGGAAAGTGGGTGGAATAATCTAACTTAATTTTCCTCAGCCTTCTTCACTGGGTGGAGGGGGAGGGATGGACATGTCCGTTGGGATGAAAGGGTTACAGGGAACCTCAAGTCACCTGGCGCACACAAAATTATTACCAAAGGGGTTGAATTTGTAATTCTCAAGGGATATTTCCCTCAAACTAGGAAGTTGAGGATAATTGTCTGTTACCACTCCCTGGATATTGGCCAACAGAATCAGCACCCCTTCCCTGGAATGCAAATGTAAATGTAAACTCTTTCGGGTCCACTGCATTTTAAAATCACAAACCCCAGGTCCCATTACCTCATGCCAAGTGAGCCATAATACAGTTGAGAAGAACGGTTGTGTGGTCCAGTTCAGATTTGGAATTCCCAAGGCATGTCACTTAATATACATTGTGTTTACTAGTTTCCATTTTGGAGGGTGAACTTTTCCTTACCTTGGACCCTGAGCTGGGGTCCACACACCTGGGCTGCACTGCCCACCCTTCCAACCAGGGGTGAAGACTTGTCTGAGAATCCCTTGGTGTGCAGACAGTTCTGTCTCAGCATCGCAGCTGCTCACTGAAATCATAGGCTCAGCACGCAGATGCACCAGGGGCTGGAGTAACGTGGCTCCTGCTCCTCTTCCAGCCCATGCCCCAAGCCCCCTAGCTGCCATGTGGAAAAAAGGCTCAGACTGTTCTAAAAATGTTTGCAGTTTGTACTCATATGCAGGGATGGCAAAATAACAGTAGCTCTGGGTGTCCTGGAAGCTCTGCTGTCTTGCATCCCTCAAAATAACTATCCTGCTTTTCAGGTGCCCCTCTTCTTAATTCTAGGATGAGAGGACTCTAAGGAAGGACTCAGGGAGGTGGGAAGAGTTAAAAGCATTTGTAATTTGGGAAGACAGCCAGGACAGCTGCAGTTCTGGTCACGATGGGAAAACTTACGTTCAGAGCTCCCAGGGCACACATCCTAATTTGGGGAACTTTCCTTTCACCCACTGGATTTTGGGGGGTCATCTATCATCCCTTTGGGGGAAGGTCTGTGGTCTCAACTGCTCAGCGGCCCCACTTGATGAGACTGTGGCCCAGGTGCCCTGCTTTGCCTTGGCTTTGGGGGGTTCAGGACCAAGCTGGCCCTGTATTCTCTCGCCCTCTAGGTGTGCCTTGTCCAGATGATGGCCAGCAGGAAGAACACCTGGAGCGCTGTCTGAGGTCTACCTCTCCCTGTCCTGGTGGCAGACTCACCCTGTTCCCTACCCTTTCTGGTGCCTGAGGCTTTACTGTTCCTTCAATGCTTGGCCACTTTTTATTTATGAAAATCAAATTAGCCATGTGGGTTTCTACTACTTGTACTCAAAGAAACTTTATTGGAATATCTGTCTTCCTAAAATACAACCACTATTTTTTGTTGCAATTAAAATGAACACAACGTTGGTTTTGAAATATTTAGGAGATTTTTCACAGTGCCGGCTCCACCCTATTCTCCCTGCACAAACCTCAGCTGGTTAAAAACAACCCTCAATATTGCAACACCAGGATTCACTGGGCTTGCCTGAGTCAGTTGGAGCTTCTTCTGATTGGGTGAGGCTCTCTGATGGTGAGCAAGGCATAGAAATGGTAACAGCCTGGTAGCTCTACCTGCCTTGGGGGTGTCTCCTCCCTTTTCCCAGGACTAGGCATCTTCAAGGGCATTAGAGTCTATGACTGGTGGCCTGAAGAGTGGTCTATGACTTCCTGGGTAACCATTAGACGATGCACATCTTCAGGGAAGGGTCGTCTCTCCTTGTCCCTGGTTAATATAAGGAGGACAGTCCAGGCTTTGGAATCGGCTAGACCTTGGTTCCAATCTTGGCTTGGCCACCTACTAGCTGTGTAGCTTTGAGCAAATTAACTAACCCCTCTGAGCCTCAGTTTCCCTCTCAGTAAAACAAGGATGATAACATTAATGCCATACCTTACAGAATCATTCTGATGTTTGCATGAGGCAATCCACAGTAAAATCATTAAAAGCACGGATGCTAGAGCTAGATGGCTGGGTTCAAATCCTGATTTGACCATACAATATCTGTGTGACCTAGGGAATAATGCCTGTCCTCTCTGCCTCACTTTCCCCTCCTGTAAAATGAGAGTAATGAAAACATCTTACAGGGTTTGGGGAAGACTAAATGAGTTAATATCTGTCAAGTGTTTTATTGTGACGATTTTTATTATATAAATACAAGTGTTTAGTAATAAAATCTGGCTATTATTGTCATATTCCCAATGTCCAGCTCAGTGACCTGCAAGCAGCTGGGGCTCATACGAGTGTGTGTGGATGTTCATCTCTCAAGACGTTCTCACATTTGGGCAGCTGAGTTGGGGTCCCACAGCCTGGCCGGGTGGAAGTGGTCCTGACTGCCCTGGGAGGCCTTCCTCAGTGTGCAGCCAGGGGCACTAGACCCCTCTGCCCCAGCCATACTGACCTGAGCTCTCCATGGGGGCCTGGGGATGTGTGAGGAGGATGTGGTTGTCTCAGGCGGCAGAATGAAAGTGAAGTGGTTGTTTTACTGTGCGGAGATGGTTCTGCAAAATAAAAGGCAGCTTGTGTAAGTGATGGGAAGGTGCAGAAAGTATATTTGGGGAATGAGGAGGCTCTTAGGGGACTTAAGCTTCTAGCATGTTGGAGGAAAGTGTAGATTTATTTAAGAAATACTTTCATGTTGCTTGCTATGGGCCAGGCACTGTTCTAAGCACTTAAAAACTATCAACTCTTCACTATTAATATTAACTTTATGAGGCAGGTACTATTTTCTCCCCATTCTTAGATGGGGAAATTGAAGCACAGAGAGCTCAATAATGACTCAAGGTCAAAAAGCTAGTAAGTAAAGGAATGAACACTTGAACTCAGACCATCTGGCTCTAGAGCGCATGCCCTCAGTCATGATGCTGCTGCCCCACTGTAACCCCGGGGGAAGGACTCACAGATTCTGCACACTGTGCAAGAAACTCCACAGCTGAAAAGCAAGAGTAGCTCTGAAGGAATCTAAGAGCATGTTCTTGGAAGAAAAAAATTAAAAAATAAAAATACACCTGGAAAAGCTAGCTTAAAGAGAGAGGGAGCAAAGACAATATTAGGAATGATAAATGTCATAAATAAATAAATTACAGGTATATTTGTAGCAAAAAAGAAAATCTGAACCCTCTATATTATACGTGGTTTTCTAGGAAAATAAACATGACACAAAGTCTTTAGAAGAATTAGAAAAGCTGCTTGTATTAGTAACCGGTAAGGAAATAGATAAAGCTGTCAAAGAACTAGCACTTAAAAACTGGTGTCTGGCTCAGATGGTTTCTCTAATAAATTCTTTCAAACACGCAGAAGTAAAGAAAATTTCTATGATACTTAAACTTCCCAAAGCATAGAGAAAGAAGGAAAGATTCTCTGTAAAGGCCACCTTATCTTTGACACCAAAATCTAATAAAGATAGCTTCAAAAAAATAGATGAAGCACTTCACACCCATTGGGATAGCTATTCTAAAAAGAAAATCAGCAGAAGCTACCAAATTGTTGGTAAAGATGTGAAGAAATTACAGGCATGGTAGGTACATTGTTGGCTGGAATTTACAACAGTGCAGCTGCTAAGGAAAACAGTATGGTCGTTTCTCAAAAGCATAGATTTATCATATGGCCCAGCAATTCTGCTTCTAGGAAAATACTGAAAATAATTGAAAACAGGAACTCTAACAGATACCTACATACCAATATTCATAGTAACATTAAAAATAGCCCAAAGTTGGAAACACTCTAAATGTCCATCAATGGATGAATGGATAAACGAGATGTGGTCTATACATATAATGGAAAATCATTTAGCCTTAAAAAGGGATGAAATTCTGGTATATGTTACAATGTAGATGAACCTTGAAAACATCACACTAAGTGAAATAAATCAGACACGGAAGGATACACATTATAAGATTCCACTCACATGAAGTACCTGGAACAGGCATATTCACAGAGACAGAAGTATAATAGAGGTTACCAAGGGCTGGGGAAGGGAGGAATGGGGAATTATTGTTTAATGGGTATAGAGTTTCTGTTTGGAATGATGAAAAAGTTCTGGAAATGGATAGTGACGATGATTGCACAACATTGTGAATGTATTTAACACCTCTGAATGGTAAATTTTATGGTATGTAGATTTTACAACAAAAATAAAAGATCAGACTCACTTATACAGACATAAAAATCTTAAAATAAATATCAACTAATTGAATTCAGTGTATTACAATTATAATTTCAGTCTATTGATAATCAGAAATGAATATCAAAATGTGATACATCATTGGCAAAAATTAGAAAAAATAACATCAACCATTGGTGAGGATATTAGAAAATTTGCTTTGTCATCTTCAGGTGGTGAAAATGGAAATTGGCATAGCTTTTCTGAGGGTAGTTGGGCAATATGCATCAAGATTCAAAATGTACTTACTTTCTGTCCAAGCAATTCTACTTTTAGGAAGTTATCCTAAATTGGACAAGTAAATGAGAGGTATGTACAGAAATGTTCATCGAAACATTGTTTATAATGTAGAAAATCCAGAAGTAACATAAAAGCCCAACTACAGAGTATCGACTAAGTGCATTAGAGTAATTTATGCAGTGCAATACTATGCAGATATAAAAAGGATAATGTATATCTATATTTACTGAACTGAAAAGATTTTCATAAGTATTCATTTTAAACAGTAGGTAACAAAACAGTTAACACATTTTTAAAACATTAATTTTTTTAAAGTATATTTCTAAATGTGCATATATGCAGTTTAAAAAGTCAGAAAAAACTAAACATCAAAATGTGACATTGAAGGTCCTGGGTATGATTAAGATGGAGTTAAGTATACACCACTTTCCCACTGAATGCAACTGAAAACTCTGGATAGTATGCATGGACCAGCTATCTGAGGATTCTGAAAAGTAAATGGTAGCAGGTAGAACAGGGAAGAATACCAGTATTTAAAGAAGAACAAACTGGCAATGAGTTTTCTGTTTCCCCCCTCTCTGTAAACTCCAGCCTGGATACAAAGGCAGCCAGAAACTCAGAGGGCAGACAAGAGCTAGAAGAAAAGCCTTCTCTCTCTGATCTGAGGAGTAGAAAAGCATCCCCTATGGTTTGAAGAGATGGGGGAGTTTCCTTTTTCTTTTCATTTTTCTGCTGCTGTAGCCCCCAGGCAATTTTGCAACAGCCGTAACAGCAACAGTTGTGGCAACAGTGGCCACGCAGGTGCCTAAAATTCTGGGAAGAAATTCTTCTCTCTGACTAGAGGAACTGTGGCCCCAGGAGCATGAGAAAAATTCTTTTTTTTACCCCCTCTATCATAGGAACAAAACACATAAAAACAAACAGAAAATTAATAATAAAATGGTAGGCCTATATAAAATTATATCAGTAATTACATTAATATAAATAGTCTAAATACACAAATTAAAAGACAGAGATTGTCAGCATAGATAAAAAAACAACACAGAACAAACTGGCACTTGGAATAACTTCAAATATAATGCCACAGGTGATTTAAAGCAAATGAACAGAAAAAAATACTATGCAAACACTAATCAAAAGAAAGCTCAAATGGCTTGCTAGATTTCAAAGCAAGGAAAATTACCAGGACTAAAGAGAGATAATGATAAAAGGGTTAATTCATGAAGAAGCTATAACAATCCTAAATATGTATGTATCTAGCAACAGGGCTTCAAAACACATGAAGGAAAAATGAATAAAACTAAAGGATAAGTGGACAAATCCACAGCTAAAGATGGAGATTTTAACAGTCCTGTCTCAATAATTGGTAGAACAAGCAGATGGAAAATTAGTAAGAATATAGAAAAATTAAAAAGTACCATCAACCAACTTAATTTAACTGGAATTCATAGAATATTACACATAATAATAGCAGAATATACATTCCTTTCAAGTGTACATGAAACATTCATCGAGAGACTATACCCTGGGTCATAAAAGAAGCCTTAACAAAGTTAAAATAATTGAAATTATACAAAGTAAGTTTGCTTATCATAATGAAATTAAACTTGAAATCAGTAACATGAAGAAAACTAGAAACCCTCCAACTACTTGGATATCAAACAACACATCTCTAAATAATCCACTGGCCCAGAAAGTAAAGGAGGAGGGAATACTTTCCACCTTATTTTGAGTACAGTACTATCCTGATACCACAGTACACAAAGATAGGGCAAGAAAACAGATCAATATCCCTTACGAACACATATGAAAAAAATTCTCAACAACGTATTAGCAAAACAAGTCCAGCAGTATATAAAAAGAATAATGCGTAACAACCTGATGGGAATTATCCCAGGGATGTGAGATCGGTTTGGAATTTAAAAGTTAATCAGTGTAATCCATCTTATTAAAGACTGAAAAAGAGAAAACATATGCTCCTATCAATAGATGTGATAAAAGCATTTGACAAGTTGCAACACTTATTCATAATAAAAACTTACAGCAAATTAGGAAGATAAGGATACTTCATTAATCTGATAAAGTGCACCTACTAAAAATATATAGCTAACATGTAATAGTGAAAGACTGAACATTTCCCTCAAAGATAAACAAAAGGCAAGGACATTCCATTTCTCTATACCTATTCAACAAATGAACATAATATTGAAAACCAGTGCAACAAGGGAAGGAAGGAAGGGAGGGAGGGACGGTGGGGGGAAGGAAGGAGAAAGAGAGAGGAGAGAGTACTGGAAGAAAGAAAGAAAGAAAGAAGGAAGGAAGGAAGGAAGGAAGGAAGGAAGAAAAGAAAGAGAGAGAGAGAGAGAGAGGGAGAGAGAGAGAGAGAAAGAAAGAAGAAAGAAAGAAAGAAAGAACGAAAGAAAGAAAGAAAGAAAGAAAGAAAGAAAGAAAGAAAGAAAGAAAGAAAGAAAGAAAGAAAGAAAGAAAGATAGAAAAGAAGGAAGGAAGGAAGAAAAGGAGGGAGGGAGGAACGAGGGTGGGAGAAAGGAAAAAAGATAAACAATAAAAAAAAAGAAAGAATCCACATTTTAAATTCTAGCTGGTATCATGTACTTATATGCACATATACTATTTACCAAATTCTAGAGTTTAGCAAAAAATTAAAAAAGGAATGCTCTTTCAGTGGTACCCCCACAGCTTTCTAAAACCAGACCCTTTGCACATGACACTAGCCCGGAAGGCACCTGAGGAACTGGGGTGGGGTGGGGACTGACATTTCGATATACGCCCTTTTTTACCATTTTAATTTTTTAAACTTGTGCATGTTTTATATATTCCAAAAGCAAATAAGCTTGTATATCCAATTACCAATCTATAGGAAATACAGAACATGCTGACACATACGACCAGGATGCAGAAATCCAGACTCTGAGGAACTACAGGACAAATGCTCCATTTTCTTTGACAAATGAATTGCAAGAAAAGTGGTGTGATGGAGGTGAAGGGAAAGGTGAGGTAAATGAAGGGGGGCCTATAAATTAACAGGGACTTATCAACCAAGTGAATGTGTGACTCTTGTTTAAATCTCAATTCAAACCA